CACACGACGCGACAAGACAAGATATGATAGACAGCTCCATTTATTTTTGCTTTTTTGTCAATCAAAATCAATATTACTCTCATCATTTGTTTCTTCCTTTCCCCCGTTATCCTTTTGCCCTTCACATATCATTCATCTCCAGACCCTTTCACTTCATTTACTATATTCATCACCACCATAATCTATGGAGGAGGGGTCCAACGCCATTCTCAACTTCTTTTGGTGTTTGTGTATATTTTCGGCAACACTACAAAAACGTCTTTCACTTCCAATTTTTCCCCCCAATTCGGATTAATTTAGTAAATCGCTTCAAATTAATTCTGCTGGTTTTCTTAAGATATTATGGAAGTATTTTAATTAATTGGCATATACCACAAGTTGGAATGATTCGATTGGACTCTTTATATGAGAAAAGTTTTTTAAGCGTTACAATAATTTGTACTTATACTTGAGACAGATAACAAAGAAATAACGAATTTCTCATCACTTGATCGCAATAAATGTTGTCTAAAACAATTCTTACCTTATGTCAATTTGCAGCCAATTGTATCATTTAATTGGGATATCACACTTTTAAGAGGGAGTTTTGATTTAGTTTTTTCTCTTTTCTTGCACGGAAAAAATGTTGTTCTTATCCAAACCTTTGCTCGTCGTTAATCATACCCAATAGATTTTCGGTTAGCCAACTTTACCCTAATATTTGAAATTTTCACCAATTTCGTCCAATCGGCCAATTTTCCGTCCAAATTAATGGATCTCCGTTAGTTTTTCAATAAAATAATAAATTTAATTACAAAAATATCCTAATAATTTTTAAAAATTTTAAAAATAACCCCTAAAATATATAAAAATAACAAAACAGTCTCTTTTCACTTTTTTATTTTATTTTTCTCTATTTTGTTCCATTTCTCTCAACTACTTTTAATGACCATAAAAGTCTATAATATGAGTTTTAAAAAAAATATTTATTTATTTTCAAACTCTACCGTAAAAATTAATCTTTGTATAGTTGTAACCCATGATTGTATTTATATAAACATATATTTTTTTAAAATATAGTTTAGCAATAAAGACACTATTTTTATGATTTATTTTATTCTTCCTAGCATAAAGATTAAAAAATATTTAAATGAAACTAATATTCCACATAAAAATAAAATATTAGCTCAAATAAAAAAAATTATTCCAGGTAGACGAATTGAACTAATAATGGTCAAGCATCGATTTTTGTTTATGAAAGCATGGATAAATTGAGTTTTTATTCCGCTAGTAATCAATTTGATGATTTATCCTTTATTACCAAAATAAAACAGTTGAGGGGAAGAATTGGAAAAAGAAAAGGAAGAAAAGAGGAGAAAATAATAAGAATAAGATGAAAAATCATGAAACTTGAATCACTAATGTGGTTGAGCTGTCAGTCCAAAAAACCATAACTAGAAAGTGCTTACCACCTATCACAGGGTAGTGCCACGTGTTGCCGGTGAGATTGGCGCTTTGAGTTGTGACGGACTCCCAAAGTTACGATTCCGCCTCGGTACTCCACAAATGGACGATCGCCACACTTTCTCCGCCACCCAATCGACGGCACCGATCGGTTCAAATGATCAAATCCCCCCACTCTAATTTTATGCTCACCTGTCTTCGATGATTCATGATTGCATATAAAAACCTCACTCCGCTTTGTTCCCACGCAAGCTTACAACTTACAACTAGGCTTACGCTTCTTGCTTATTATTAAATGGCTCGGCTACGCTTCTAGTTAATGGCGGCTCATTGATTTTCTCTCTCTCTCTCTTTAATATTCCTTCCAATTCTAAAATATTGTTAGTGATTTTCTTGATCTTGAATAAACACGACTATTATTCTCAAACACTTCTTATAGTTATTTTTCATGTTTCCTTAAACATTAGTGGTGGAGTTAGGGGAGATGGAAGGGTGTGGTTGCACACTCGCACTTGCTTAGTTTTTTGTAATTATTATAGGTATTCTAAATTTTTAATATAAAAATATGTACTCCCTCTATTTTAAAATATAAATCAGTTTAAATTTTGCACATAAATTAACGAGATAATCATCTAATAATTAATTTATGTGTTAAATAATTATTTTACCCCTCATTAATTACATTAGAACTATAGAAAAGGCTAAATGAAAATATATTGACATTATTTATAGAGAGTAAAGTTTAAAAAATAGTCAATTAATTTGTCTAAAATTTATAAAATAACCTATATTTTGAATAATTTTTTTAAACCTAAAACGACCTATAAATTAAAATCGAGGGACTATTGTAGTATAATTTTTCAGACTCTTACATATTGATTTCTTGACCATTAGTAATTTTTTTGTTTCTAATTTCACAACCTTACGTTGATTTCTTGGCTCCGTTATTGGCAGATTTACTTACGAGTTATTCTTGTCACCGAGTTGAAGAGCCAAGCCAAAAGTACATGCTAATTAATCATCATTCAACTGTAGGGGAAGGTAGCCCTTTTACATAAAGGAATTTTTTTAGTGCCAACAAGTCATGTCATCGTATCTAAATGCGATCAAGACATTCCTTAATTAGTTTAGCACGTAATAGTTGACTCGTCACAAGAAAATTAATCACTCGCATTCACATATAAGCGAATTTCACAACAAATTTCTTCACGTCTTTAGCATTTTCTTGTCGGAGTAAAGTAAATTTCGTAATTAAAAAATATTTATTTTCCTTGTGATATTGTTAAAAAACTAAAATAAAATTTATAACTAGCATCAATATGTATGTTCATTAATCAGTTAAGTTTCTTAATTAATATACTGTACAAGTTTCATATTCACATTAACTATTATGATCCATACACCATACTAGTGAATTTCTAAAGATTTGCTATCAATTTGTCACGTCAATTGTCATTTGGATCCACATTTTTTCAATCCCAACACCAAATATTATACTATTTAAAAACTTCTTTAAAATGGCTTAAATAATTTACGTTGATATATTAAGAAATGTAACTTTGAGTACAAGTGAACAGTTAAAATGGCTTCAGGCGTTGAATTCATTGTTATTTTCAAACATCAGATCATAAGTATAATTAAATACAATATAAGCTCAACAAAAGTTCATAATTGTCTTTTCCTCTTTAATTATTTAATCCTTAAGCATCGACGCCTGCCTCAAAGCCAACAGCAACTTGGTCAAAACACTCTACAGAAATACTGTAAATAAATAACGGAATACTCAATATTCCAATAATTCCAAAACAAGAACTCATCTTTCCTAAAATTCATTTCTGACCACAATTCGACGCCTTGTCTGTCTCTTTTTTTATTGGCAAAAGTTTATTGCACAATAACCCCTAATTCATTGGCTTATAAGACAATGCTTGAGTTACTGATGATAATAACAACTTGTTTGTGATTCAATATGAAAACTAAAGGTAGTCCAACGCATCTAAACACGGATTTTCAAAATAGTTAAATAAAATGTTAATTAATTCGCAATTCATTCACTATTTTCTCCTTAATAACATAGGTCCCGTTTGATAAAACTTAATTTGAGTCTGAAGTCTGAAATCTGAAGACTGAATCATAAGTACTGAACTGATTAAGTTTGTCTTGTTTGATAAAAATCAAAATCTGAAAACTGATTAAATGGTCTGAAATCTGAAGTCTGAACACTGAAATTAAAGTATTTAGAATTATAATTTTATCTCAAAAACTAATGTATGTATATGTATATGAAACTATGATTGTAAAGATAATAGTATTATTATAAAATTATGTGATAAAAATATTTAAATTTTATCACGTAATCCTTTTTTAGTTAATAATAATATCATATCTTTATCATTGTCAAAAAATATCATATCTTCATGATAAATATATATATAATGGACTATATTAGTATTTTATTTTTTATATTAAAATAAATATTTATTAAATAAAAATAATTAAATAAATTTCAATTTATAACTAAATACCAATATTAATTAAAATATTTCAAGATAAAATATCAAAAGTACAAATATAAAATTAAATAAATAGAAAAAAAATCGTCTTAGGAATTCAGTTCAGACATAAGTGATAGGCCTATCACTTATTTTTATACTCACATGTGTACTAGTATTTCAGACCTACTTAATTTATTAAGACACCCTAATATGAGTTATCAAATGTAATTAAAATTTAAGTCCTTAATTAGTTAAGTTCTTAATCAATTAAGTTGTAATAAAATTGTGTTATTAAATAGTACCAATCAATTAATCACTTAATCAATTAAGTTTAAGTGCTGAATTGGTTTATCAAACAGGGCCATAGTCTCTTTGTTTGAGATTTGGAAAAGACAACATTTGTGTTTCAAACAAAAAAAATGGCCAATGATGATGATTATTGTGATGTAATCCCAAAATGTTTGGCACAGAGGGAGTCTATAATTATGAGCTGATGATGTTGAATTTTCAGGTTTGGGATTGATATGGAATTCCAGATTACAAATTCAAGTTTAACTTATGTGGTGGTTACTTGCTACAACCAATTATAGAGGGAGTACTTTGCAATTACAACAACTCAATTAAACTAACCAAATCATATAACAGGACCCATTCTTTGATCTGGATTTTTCACTTTTCTTAATCTGTGTTGACTACTCCAAAGTCCGGCTACATTATTTCTTGGAGTAACCAAGTAAGCGTGAAGAATATAATTATTGTAAGAGCACTTGTTTATTTGATTGGCCTAACACATAAGCCCATCAAGTACTAAACTTTATTGATTCAATCATAGAGATGCAAATGATGTTATCTAGTGTGACACACTAGACTAAGACTCCATTATACTCTGAGAATTAAAGATTTTAGGCCAATTAGAAGCATCAAGTAGTTAGGAAAACTTGATAAAGTCACAGAATTAAAACAATCAGATCATATTTTGTATTTTTAAAATGTGTTTTTCAGTTTTACATGAACCTTGATGATAAGTTTGTATTGTTTATAAACATGTCATTTTTTCGAAAAAGGTTTGCACATCGGTCGGACAGTTGGTAAGTCGTATTTACATGCTATGTACTTGTAGTAAACACTTTTGTACAAGTATTTATTCCCATTTTTTGTAAAAGTGGAATAGTGATTTGATTCAGCACTCACTGTAGTCGTCACTCTCACGCGGACTTCCAAAGGTTCATTTCACATCAACCATTTCATTCATTCAATCCCCCAAAATTAATAATATCTCTTCTTGTCCTTTACCTATATTGCCTACATCCATCTCCACACTTTTTTTGCTTCGATCTTCCTCCATTGTGATACAATCCCACCTGAAATTCATCCCTCTGGTTTGCTGATTTTGTGGACAATCATCAATCTCTCTGCTGTACCATGCAAATAATCTTCGGTGTTTGATAGCAGGCATGAATACTACTACTAGTACTACTAGTCAAATACTTCCTTTTCATTGTTAAAGCTCTGTTTTGGTTTCTGAAGTCTGAACTGAACTCTGATTTTGGGATTCGCAGCAACATATCAAAATATCTCTACTTTTTTTTGTCACATAATCTTTTCCTCACACCCTTTTCTTACAGTTTTCCTTCGCCACTTCTCATTTCTCCAAAGCCCAAAAGCCAAAAAACAGGTTTGAGCCATGGTTCACAACCAAACAGTCAACTTTCTTACCACCACATAAGAACAAAAGCCACTTTAGGAACAAGAACCACAATTTTGATCCTAAAATTTCAGTCTGCTAGTTCACTATTTTTTCCAAAAAAATCACATCTTTGATCCCAATAATTAATCATCCCTGCTCTTTTTCCTTTTCTGTTTAATCCCATTTCAAAAGGGTCTCTAAATTCAACCTGTGTTTCAGTTGAATTTGAACAAAGATCGCATCTTTATTGCGATTTTTATCTTGTTCTTGCATAAGATGCAAGACCCATCAATATATTCACAGATCAAACCGCAATTCCCTGACCAAGAACACTTGAAATGTCCGAGATGTGACTCTGCAAACACCAAATTTTGCTACTACAACAACTACAACTTATCTCAGCCCCGTCACTTCTGCAAGAACTGCCGGAGATACTGGACCAAAGGCGGCGCTCTAAGAAACATCCCCGTCGGCGGCGGCTCCAGGAAGAATAATAAACGCAGCTCATCTTCCACCAAACGCTCCTCTGCCGCCTCCTCGTCGGCTGCCTCAGCGACGCCGTCTTCTTCCACATCCTCGCCGGCCGTTTCCGCCGCCCCCACGTCATCATCGCCGTCCCCCGCCACCACCCCTCAGCCAGCTCCGAAGACCGAGCCATACGGAACTTCCTTACAGCCGGCTTTTGATCAGGACCGGCGGACGATGATGATTGATACGGCGAATGGGAGTTACGGCTCGCTTTTGTCCACGAGTGAGGGTCAATACGGTAATTTCTTACAGGGGCTGAATCCGAACGGGTCTAATTTGCAGTTATATGGGTTTGGAGAGCACGACTTGAATCGGGGTGCTGGACCGGGTACTACGGTCTCGGATTCGGGTCAACATGGTGAACCCGGGAATGGGAATCATAACTCTGAAGATTTGTTTCTGAATGGTCAGAATAACGGAGATTCTGGATGTTGGAATGGTACAAATGGTTGGCCTGATCTTGCAATTTTCACTCCGAGTTCGGATTTCCGATAAATACAAAATGTGTTCCCGGGAATTAAAGGAATTTACACATTTTGATGGTGACTTTGTGGAAGCATATTAGAGGGTATGTACTATTTACTTCACTCTTGCCTAATTTAGCAGTATTTCTAATTATGGTAATTGCAAGCATAGGGATTACGAATTTATGATTGCAATATAACACATTTCGAGTATGTATGTATGGATATGTATGGATGGTTGGCATAATAATAATCTATAAATGCCTTAGTTCAGAAAAGAATGAGGCAAAAAAATACCAATGTTTTTAATATGGTCATTTGTCATTCTATAGTGTAACCAAATTGGCCCTTTTGCGGAGAATCCCTATAACTATATTATTTCTATGTGCTTATGGTTTGAACTTCCATGTGCTCTTTATAAAAGGGGACTTCCATGTTGTAGACCAATTTTTTTTTTCTCTAATAAGATTGGATTTGGCATCTCAAACTTTTGATTTTGTTACGAATATTGGTTTTCGAGGGCCATTTTTGTTGTATAACATCGGCAATTTAACGTTCAGCGAATAAAATTTTGCGGTGCCCATCCGCAAATGATAGTGAGTTCATTGCCATTTTAGTGTCATATTTCAGTATTTCAGTCTTACCCATTAACTGCGTTGACACTTGACATAAGTTAGAAGAGTCACTAATTTAACTCAGCTCGCTTGTTTTTGCATTTGGGGAATGGGTGGGAAGACAGGGTCATCATAAGTGACTTTCAAAAGTCTGACCTTAGGATTATCTCAGTCTTATGTAGTCGTGTTGCTATTTAGTTGCATTATTGTTTTTGGAAAGGTTTGTATTTCTTAACTTCTAAAGTGAATATATAAAACCTCAAAACTATTTGAATAATCAAAGGTTAAGGTGTGACTTGCGAGAATATTCGCATTAAGGCTTAAAGTATGCAACGAGTTCTGGAATCTGGTTGTAGGATATGCTTGAAATGCTTGAAGTAGTGAGTTTGTTGATTTGTTCTATTCATTAATATTAGTAGTTTGCACAAATTAATGTGATAGTGTAAGAAATTAGGTAAAAAGAATCTTTCTTTTTTTTTTTAAAAAAAAAGATAAAAACAATCTTTCTTATTTTATTGAAAAGGGAAATATTAAATCCCAAAATATAGTAGCTTGTTTCTTTCGGGGTCGTACGGATATTACAATTTACACGATACAAATTTTCTCTTTAATATGAATAGGGCACCTTGTCCATTATTCGAGTATTTTTAACACGATACAAATTCTCGTTTAACATGATTACACTGCTATTTATTTAATTGTCAGAGTATCTCGTATTCCCTCCATCTCATAATTATTATCCAACTTGAGTTTTCATTTTTAGTTCAATTTGTACTAAAAGTGAAATCTCAAATTGGACAATAATTTTGATACAAAGGGAGTATTTTATTTTATTGTGGGTGGTTCTTTTTGGGCCTAGTGTTTTTTTGTTTGTTTGTTTTTGTTTTATATCGTGGGGGGCTAGTGTTGATTACAACGTGATGGAGCTGAGTGTGGGTGCGGAAGATTTTGGAGATCCCCAAGTTCATAGAATCTGATCATTTTCATGAATTCCCCCCAAGTTTTTGTCCTGAAACTGGTGGACAAAGTTTAACTTTTCGTCATCTTCCAATTCGCAACCTTATTTTAATCCATATTCTGCGTTGCAAAAAGGTTCGTTAGACTTATCAAATCAATAATCGATCTTATTTTTAAAATACACTTTGTCTTATTAGTTCGACAAATGATTTGTTTGTCAAAACAAAACGGAGATAAGAGGAAAAGAGTGTACTATTTTGGACGCCTAACACAAACGAGAATTGCATCAATACATACGTCATTACATATATACTTAAGCTATTGGTTGCTTGCCTGAAGAAGATAATGGGCTTGTTTGGCCTCATCTCATTTTGCGTTTTGGTTTAGTTTTTGGTTTGAGTTTGAAATGTGATTTAAAATGTGTTTTAAGAGAAAATTTAAAAACTTTGTAAAATTTTTTAATTAAAATAATATTATTTTTTTTCACCACTAACCACCTCCACCACTTACCTCCGTCGCCGGATCATCCTCCTCCGTCGGCGGCGGCGACCGGCCGGCCGGACTCTGACAAATTGGCCGGAATCCGGCCGACTGACGGCGGCGTTAGGGAATAGTCCGGCAGTGGCAGGCGGTGGTGAGGTGGTCCGGTGGTGGTGGATAAAAATTGTGTAAAAATAATTTTTTGGAATAATTTTTAAAAGGTAAGTTAAAATATCATTTGAATAGTGTATTAGTTTTTGTGTTTAAGAGGTAAAATGAGACCAAATGCAAAATAGAAGGTTGGCCAAACAAGACCGACATTATTCGGCTATCCATTTTACTTTAATTTCAACATTCTAGACATAAAATCATTTCGTACGAGACATACCCAGAATTCGGGAAAAAGAAAAGAGAAGAGATTTATGTATTAAAAAACACTCTTGCTCAAAGGTGGTTATCTCGTCACTTTCGGTGTAAAAGGGTCTTCATAGATTATGCTTGGCAAATCTTCTTGTATTACGATGCTAGCCTTTAGTAGCCTCCTCGATATATTTGGAAAAAAAAAAAGAAGAAACTTGGCAAAAAAAAGTGGGAAAAAGAAAAAAAAACTCTTCTACTTCGAAGACAAGTTATGTGGGTAGGTCCTGGCTTTATGACATTTCATAGATCACCCAGCCGCTGTTGGAATGAGACAATGGTCCACTTGGGCCCGAAAGGCCCACAACCCACGATGTGCATTTAGTTGGACCACTTTGTGATACAAGTATTGGGGTGGGCCTTTAATGCTTTGACAAAATGGTATACCCAAAGAAGATAATGTTTTCCCCAATCGAAATTTTGTTACATTTCTTTATCCATTTCTAGTGCTGCCTTCGTCCACAAGCCAAAGAGATATTGATGTATGTTTACGTTTCAATATATTTGGTTTACATGTCAATATTTTCAATTCTAATATTTAGACAGTTATTCTACTCATGGAGATGCTTATAACTTACCCTTTGGATAAATCGCTATATCGATGGTGGATACCTCCAATTTGTGAAAAGAAAAGATTTCAATATTTTTTGAAACTTAAGCAGTATCAATGTATCATCCCAATTGGGAACTTGCTAATGTGCCTATTTCCCAATTCTACATGGGAAAAAGGGTTTGCCAATGTCACTTTAATAAGAATAATGTCGCTTGCTACTTGGTACGTAGCCTGTATCAACTTCGGCTTTGTTTCATTTCACATTTGCCATGAAGAGTTTTATGTGAAAATATATTCTAGTTTCACATTTGCCATGGCATTATATTCTTTCTTTAGTACTGAATGGAAAAAACAGATTTGTTAACCTAGTTTCATACATTACCGGACAAAAAATCCCTACTGTGCCGATATGTCAAAATAGCAGCATTGTACTGTAAGGGTGTAACATTTTCTACCCAAATAATCCGCTGAATAGTTGGGTTCCCTGAAATACATATTCTTCAATCTACCCTTTTGAAGGAAGCCGTCTCCCAACATTTTGAGAGTAATACTATAACGATCTGAGCCAGTGTCGAAGTCAGTGACGTTGTATTTCAGCAACTTCATAGCCATAAGGTCTACCATATACTTAGTGGTCAAGTCCCAAAAACAAAAAGTACTACTACCAAGTAGGCAGTTGTGAAGAGTTTTGACCACCATTTTCCATGGTGTTTACTGCTGAGTACTGATAAGTGATAGAAATATAAATGGGGTATATGCCATCATTAATCCATTTGCCAACCCTTGAAACAACTGCTCAATCAGGCTGTGGTCGCTATAAATTGTTAATAGTCAATACCCCATACTACGCATTTAATAAATATTTCCATGTCCCAACATTTGTGATGATAGTAGTGACAATAATTTATTAGGTATTTAGAATTTCTAGTTATTTTTATAAATTTTTAGTTGCAGTACACATTTTATTTTATATTTAAATTTTCTTGTATTTTAATTTGTACTTTCTTTCTGATCTCTGATTTGGTCTTTCGTAGTTTGAAAAGATTTCGAGCATCAATTGTTTTTGTGTATGTAATGTACCTATTAATTTATCAATTTATCTAGTAGCGGTATCTAAGCATATGGACTCTAACTTTTTTTGGATAAATATTTAAAAAATAATTACATCATTCTTTTTTAGACAAACTGAGTAGGTATGAAGAAAGGGGTCTGCAAAAGAGTTGACCTTTGCAGAATAAAATTTATTTAACACTTAACTAGATGCATCCGCCCGGCAACTGCCTATTTTTAAATCGGTTAAATTGAATAAAATGAATCGTGCAAATCATATGATACTTGTTTATTTTTCGATCTTAGTTTTATTAATTAATTTTATTATTTTTAAATCATATGATGCTTGTTCATGTTTTCTGATTATAGTTTTTACAAATTAATTTCGGTATTTACAATATGGGAGCAATTCGCCTGAGTATTTTGTTTTTTTTTTTTTTTCAATTTGCATAACATGTTAATATCAAAATTTATATGATGTCCATTAATCACTATATTGGGCTGGAACCTTTTCATATATGATGAACATGGCTTTTTGAGGATGTTGACTAAGGAAATTAATTAAGTAATTCAACCACATCTTTTTTTTTCACGGCTGAATCTCACATAAAGTTTGAGATTTGATAACGGAAGCATCACCACGATATTTCCATCATACTCAGGCAAAAGCTAATATTCACTACTTCTTTATAACGGTTTAAATAGTGTAGATAAGAAAAAACAAAGCAGAAAATAACAATTACAAAATTAGAAGATTGACATCCTCTTTCGAAAGAGTAGGCCACAAATCCATCAAGAACACCAATTTCCCACAACTCAAAAGAAGGAAACAAACGTCTCAACCCATTTCGATAGATTTAATAAAGAAAAAATCTCAAAAGACTACATTTTGATTGTGCATCCGTGACAATAATCATAGTAAAGCAGAGTTGGACGACAAAGGACTAACAATTCTGGAGAAGTAAACAATAACAACACGTGGCATCACAATTTTAATGATTAAAGAATTGCAAACAGCAATTCGAGTTAATAGGACCTGAATCCAAGAACTACTACATTTGTAATTCCGCAAAGAAATGAATGCTTAAGTATACTACAAAAGAGCAAATTAAGATAAGAAACCCAAGACATGAAAAAGGAACAATCTTGGTTGCAAGAGGATGGTAACCTTCAATGGATTTAGCCGGCCAAATTCCACTTTTCACGAAACAATTAGCTGCAGTTACTCTCCTCATTACATCGAGAAGTAACCGAACCACCAAGTCAGCGAAACCAAAAATGACTTGTAACGAATAAACGCGACTTTTAGAGCTACAAAACTATAATATCCAAGGCATAATTCAAAATTAAAGTCTTACTTCGCTACATGTAAGGGATAGATTGGGGCTGAAGCAGACAAATTTGATGATGATGAAGGCCCTCCATAGCCCAAAATCCTATACCCCTCATCATCCTTCCTGTGTTTATCCGCTTTGTGTTACACTAATAAGAAAGGAAAAAAAACCAAACAAATGAATTCCAATAAAATAAAAGAACCCTTAAACTCGACAGTGCGTGAAGCAAAATTACACATACATCATTTATATATGTCTTTATGAAGAAGTGAGGCAGCTTTATACATCAAATTCTTAAGAAAATCAAGATTTTTAACTCCAA